CGCCGCTAGGATAAGGAAATTCAAAGGGCATTAAAAGCAGTGCACAAGTGTCATTACAGCTAACAGAGACTCAATTGGACGGTGTATAGGACAACGCTTACATAGGCAATGACGCCGGTAATTAAACTATCCTACGGACAGTCATCCCGTAGGGTACGTTGCCTGTGCTCAAAGACAAAAATGGTAAGATGAAGTTTCCAAAACTCAGACATAGAAAGTAATCGAGTCGCGGAACTCGGTCCTTCAGTGACAAACGGTTTATTCGACAACGCAAGCTCAGCGAAAATGATGGCATAAAGTAACATGCAGAAATCTCGTTATAAAAATAGATAAATGAATGGCATATTCCTCTGCGGTGAAAAGCACAGCTCAATTAGGTGGTCTGAGTAATGTATATAAGTTGGTCTTTTCCATAATTAACAACGCTTCTGCAGTCGTGAGAATTTTCCTTCGATCCAGTTAAACAAACCCGCTCCAGCGTAGCCGACTACGAACCAATCAGCATATAGGCGACCAAACAACCGCTACTTTCGCTTGCCTCAAGCTAGCTGCTTGTTTCGTCATGTAAATCCGAGTCGTTCTTCCATTTGCATAATCCCAACACAAGTTGTCCACCTGAAAACTGGAAAATTTGTTGGTGCTTATGAATGCCACTGGAAGTGGCGAAGAACCGCGGTCCATGCTGGATTTTGATCTATACTGATTGGCGTTAAAAGTGTGCAAAATAGTAAGTGCTGTCAGGACGGACGGACACCGTCGTGCTATCAATGTACTTTGTAATGACTAGTGTGCCAACTGCAATGACGTAGCAGCTATATATGATACTCAAGTGTGACCGAAATAGATCTGCTTCCCAGCTGGTTCTCGGCAAGCTGGGGCCTTTCGAAGTTATGCAGGACAATCAACAACTTTAACTTTCATGCAACTACAGACAAATGCCTAGTTTTCGACTACTGTTAATAGTATTAGATTGTCATCCTCTTCCAACAATCGTATGCATAAATATTTATCAAACCTAAATTACATACTCATTGTTGACGATCTTCGCTGCTTAAACACTCGCAATGTGACTTTTCGCATTACCAATTAAACTATTAGAACTATCGCCTCCACTTTCAGTTTCAGTAGGATTATCGGTTTTCGTTTCCACACTTCAGCCGTAAAAACCCTTTTGCTGAAAATAATTCGACTTTTCGCAGTAGCTTTCAACTCAGACACACCACATATCCGGAAAAACAACAGACGGTAGTTTAATTCTATCAGGATCTGTCAACAGTGCGCAGCGCTCAACTCCACCAGTCCGCAGCGAATACCACTAAGCCGTGGGGACAGCGCGAACCGTCATGCTTTACAAGTTAACTTGCGATATAGCATGACTGGCCATTCACTACCACGCCAAGTACCAACGCTGCAAAGGACATGGTTATCCTCAAGAGTAACTCTTTCTAGTAACAGCAAATATGTGCGACATAGCATTTAGAAGCTTTCGTGGTAGAAATTTTGACGATTTTCAGTGGCAAGCCTTCATTCTTTTTTGACCCGCCCTCAGCGTGCCCAACTCCAACACCTGTCGCTTGCGGCTGACCTCAGTCACCCCGCTACACCACTGACCAGCAGTTGTGTTGATAGCGGTAGTGGTTTTAATTCGCTCACTTGCCTCGGGGAAGTGATAGCCCGATGCTAATGACCAACCTGGCCTAGGAATAATAATGTGTTTCGTACATGATTTAGGAATTGTTATAATTATTCGTGCTTCGAGACGTGGGTAAGGATGGTGAAAATTATTCTAGGTTAGGCAGTGTGTTCGCGAACGTTTTGCTATTGGATTCGTCAACATCATAATAAAACTTCACCGGCAAAACTCCATATGCTATCCAGTTCACTTCCGATGTGGATGGAGCAAGGTTGCGTTCCATGTCTTACTAGTTGTACTGTAAATATAACAATCACTCTGACTGATATCATAGGTTTATGAAAAGGTGAGGGCTGTTTTGAAACACAGATTGTCCGTAAGTTTTAAAGTTCACTCTGTACAACCAGAAAGTATAGAGACACGTGCACGGCGGCATCCGGTTTCGGATTTGCCTGTCACTGTGGCCAGCCACAGGACGCCTGCGTCTACACAGGGACCATGCGTGGCTTGCGCTGCACCACCAACAGCTCCAACCACACACCCCATATCCAGTGCAAACCCGAAGGAATAAGACCGGGGGGCACGTGGACGGGAGCCATGTTTCATCAACGGAGCCGGCCCACACTCCTTCACAGGCAAACACAAGCACGCTGTATTTGGGGAACCAAACACACAAGGCGGTAGCTTGACTGTAGTCCGCTCCAAACTGAGTGCATGGGATCACTCTTTGATCCTTACATGGCCACAAGGACCTGCACCCCGTCCCCTCCAGCAACGACCAACTGTCTCCTGGAGCCAGTATGAAAGAGGTAGTGGGTACTAGACAGGTAGGCAACTTGTTAACATACACAGCAAGCGCAGCCACACCGGGGATGTCAAACAACAGCCAATCACTTGAAATGACATTATCAAGTAAAATACATCTGTTAAAGCGTACAGCTATGCCGATATAACTCTTCGCTAAATTAGCATACGAATTAAGTTGGTTAGCAACGCATCCGCGATAAGTTCAAGTTGTCCATAAGTTACTCAAAAACATACCACAAACGCAATAAAGCTAACGAAGATAAGCGCAATTAGTGTAAGCAACGTGGCCAGTTAATAGAAGATTATTCAGGTAGGCAGAACAAACCAAATAAAGTGAAACGAAATTTAACCAGCTCTGAAAGACCCAGTCTAAGTGTAAGTTGGTTTAGCCCAACAGCGGTGAAGAAACATCAAGCATGCAACACCAGCCTCCACATGGGACACATGGTTGGCGGCATCCGGTTTCGGATTTGCCTGTCACTGTGACCAGCCACAGGACGCCTGCGCCTACACAGGGACCATGGGTGGCTTGCGCTGCACCACCCACAGCTACAACCACACACCCCATATCCAGTGTAAACCCGAAGGAATAAGACCGGGAAGCATGTGGATGGGAGCCTAAGACCAGGAAGCATGTGGATGGGAGCCACGTTGCATCAACGGAGCCGGTCCACACTCCTTCACAGGCAAACACAAGCACGCTGTATTTGGGAATCAAGCGCACACAAGGCGGTGGCTGGACCGTAGTCCGCTCCACACTGACTGCATGGAACCACTCTTCGAGCCTAGCACGACCACAAGGACCGTGCACCCCGTCCCCTCCAGCAACGACCAACTGTCTCCTGGAGCCAGTATGGACGAGGTAGTGGGTGATGGACAGGTAGGTACCTTGTCAACACGCACATCAAGCGCAGCCACGCCGGGAATACCAAGCAACAGTCAGTCACTTGAAACGACAAGAGGAAATAAAACAAATTCAATAATGCATACAGATAAGGTTGCACAATTCCGCTAAATTAGCATATGAAGTAAGTTGGTTAGCAACGGATCCGCGATAAGGAAAATATGTTCACAAGTTAGGTAGAAATGTTACAAACGCAACAAAGTTACCGAAGATAATCGCAATTAGCGTAAACAACGTGGTCAGTTAGTAAACGATTATTCAGGTAGGCAGGACAAACCAAATGAAGTGAAACGAAATTTAACCAGCTTACAAAGACCTAGCTTAAGTGTAAGTTGGTTTAGCCCAACTGCGGTGAAGAAACATCAAGTATGCAACATCAGCCTCCACATGGGACACTTAGTTATCTGAATACTGACAAGTATTGTGAAATCACCGCACACCGCTTTACCAAACACAGTCGGCCCAGCAGACGAGCGCATCTGTCGAGACGGGCTGTCACCCGGCGGTTTGCAAGTTACCACGGTCGTAACAACCAGACTTGTTGAAACCTGTCGATAAAGACATCTGTTTGGCATAAGTGCCAATCAAAAGGAACTGGGCCACGAATAATAAACAACCACAGCGACAGTCGGTGGATTGATTAAATACTTCATGGATCAAGTGCACACGAACAGCCGGTCGGAGTGAGTGCTTGAATTGATTTGGAGCCACATCATGTGAAGACTGAGCGATTGGGAAGGGTTAAGCTATATCGTCTTCGCTTAAAAATTTCATGGACTTGATCGATCACTCCAGTATCTGGTACAGCTAATCAATAGGAATCTCATGTGATCGTTCGTTTGCCTCCTTACTTATCATCAACTTGATCATAGCAAGATGGAAAATGTGGACGTGTCCTACACCAGCTCTGCTGTCACAATAGTGACGAATATTATTTTGGAAGGACAGAGAGAAAGTCTACCATAAGGTGACGTAAACACAGTGTAGCCATTTGTCGCCATGATCAGAACGCCCTATTGTTGAGTGTATATGGATGCTGATGCCGCCAAATCAAGCGGGAGTACGTCAAAATTCTCGGGAGTGCAAAACGCTTATATGTACTTAAGTTCACAGAATCCTGACAATGAAAGCAGGATTCGATCAATACTCAGCACTTGAACCTCGAAGTGGCGTACTGGGCCGTGCGATCCAGACCTTTGAAGCCGCACTTTTGAATTTGCCTAGCCTGATAATGAAACGTCTGCAGACAACTCATTAGTCTTGAAGAACAACACAAGATTCAAATAAGCGGATCCGCTCATATTACTGAATTGGCATGATCAGGTATACAACCGAAGTGCAAACGACCAACTGATACCTGCAATTGGAAACACCGTTTGGACACACCTGCGCGTTGGTACTAAATCGCAACTGCCTCTGGCACATCTAGTACATTCTTAACTAAATCGACCGGAAGTCGAAGCCATTAGCAGGCTTCACTGACCCACATTCGATATTAGAAATGAAAGCGTTCACGGCTTGCTATTCTCGTTGGTTCAATTGATACAGCTAACATTCTCACTGAGTTCGAGTTAACGGGTCCGAAGCTTGAGCGTTCAACTTACGGTGATAACCATTATATGGTAACAACAAATATTGTACATCGGGGGGGGAGACTCACTCGACCGTCTCAATGATGTAGAAAATCCATGAGAAGGTGCAAAGAACACTGTACACCGTGAACTGTAAATGGAGCAAAACAGATTATGGTGGAAAGCACATAGAATGAATAACTTTTACGTTAGAGAAAGGGAAATAAATGCATGGTTGCTGGGACGCTACCGGTTATCCACAGAATAACAGTAGACTGTACGCACATTTTTGTGACTTAGATAGTTATTAATATCTAGTTCACAAAATACTGTTACTTTAACACCATTCTGCGGTGCAAATAGCTTGACTAATAGTTTAGGTAATAAAACTTATTCTGCTCTTACGGAACCATATGAACAACGATTTATCACGGGATGAAAGCAAGTGCTTGACACTTCCCGTAGGATGGTTGAGGTGAATATGATGAAATCAAAATATATCTGAGTCGTCTACCGAACGTCTACCGAGATGAATACTTTGCTAAGTAATATCAGTGTAAATTTTTAAAAAAAATTATCGAGCGTCAACGTTCAGAAAGACACTTGGGCGCAGTGATCGTTGAGGTATGGAGTGAGAAAAGTAAAATACTGTCGCTCAATTAGGTCCATTTGATACATAAATCCTGTTGAAAAGCATGCTTGGTGTAATCCACAATAGAGGAGTTCAGGTAACAAAATGTTGGGAGCGAAGAGCAACATCTAATCGTTTTTTGAAAACATCCAAGGTAGGAGAGGATACAACGGAGTCTGGGAGTGCGTTTCAGGGTTGGCAAATCCGAAGAGAAAAGTAATCCCGTCGACATTCTAGACGGCTATATTGTTCCTTCAATTTCATGCAGTTACCCCTCAGCTGCGTGTTGTGGCTAAGTTTCAGCGAATGGCGGCATACGTGGTTGGGGTCATACAGTATCTGATAAGCTAATATGAGGTCACCGCGCAGCCTACGATAGCGTCCGCTGAAATTCCCAGAAACTTCAGCCTTCGGTGGTAAGAGTGATAGCGCAGTCCCTTTGCCTTCTTTGTTGCTCTTCGTTGTGGTGCCTCTATCTCTTCTAGGTCGCGCTTCAACCAAGGTTGCCAAGCTTGGATAGCGTAATCAACATGCGGGCGCACGTAGGGATTGTGTATCATTGAGAACATTGATGGGTCAAATCTCCCGAATGCCCTTCGCAGCATGCCAACATGCTGGTTGCCTATTTTCACAGCTACCTCAGCCCGTTTTGAACAGCTGAGGTCGCTCTGTACGAGCACACCCAAGTCACGTTCCTGGGAGCTATTCTACAGTCCGTTTGACCCAAGTAAATAGGTGTAGTTATGTCTGTCGTAATTGTACAACGCGACATTTGTCTACGTTGAATGGTAGGGCGTTTTGAACTGACCAGTTCGACACCGTGTTAAAATCGCACTGGAGCCCTTCGCGGTCGTCCGGTCCTCTGATCCTTCGCCATATCTTGAAAGCAACAACAATAAATAGGAAATCGGGAGCAAATGATCTCGCCAAATCGTTACTGAGCACCAAGGATAGATGTGGTCCAAGACCCGAGCCTTGTGGTACTCTACACACCACATCGATTGTATCGAACAATGATTCTCGGACTCTCACCTCTAGCCTTCTTTCTTGTAGAAAATTGTCAATTCAACTCAGGATTGGGTCGCCAATGCCGTAGTTCCGAAGCTTCTGAAGGAGAATGCGATGGTCTAAGCGAGCAAACGCTTTTGAAAAGTCCAGGTAGATGACATCGAATCCCACTCCATCATCAACAGCTTCAGTTCAGCTATTACATGCAATTAATAGGTTAGTATTACACGAATGCTTTTAACAAAAGTCATGTTGCTCTGGGGTTATTAAGTTATAGATTTACAGGTATTGCATCAGCTTATCTGCGATGATTGATTCCAGCAATTTGGACAGCATGAGAAGTAGTGTTACTGGACGGTAGTTGGCAGGATCAGTGCGGCTACCTCATTTATGAAAAGGAGTGATGATCCCTCGCTTCCATACTGGTGGCATACGGTTCTGCTATAGACAGAGCTGATAGAAAATAGCCAGTGGTGTTGCTAGATCACTAGCAACCGCCTGCGGAGCCTTTGGTCAGATCTTGTCAGGTCCGGGAGAACTGTGGATACGCAAGGATTACAACTTATTCAACACAGCTTCCGCAGTGAAGGTTATGCTGTTTAAACCCGAAAGTGGAATATTAAAAATGAGGAAGATGTTTGGGCTCGTTACCAGCTGGAAAGTTTGGGAGTAATGAAGCCGTAGGAGATCAGCTGCTTCCATTGCTGATCGCGTGCACCCATCAGCCGTGACTTTCGCTGGAACCTCACGCTTCCCCTTTCGAAGGCCGTTAACGTGCCTGTACAGGAGTTTGCGGTTAGTGCAGAATCCATTCATTAGCTCCTGCTGATGAGTGACCTTGGCTTCGCGGATCAGTTTCCCACAGAAGTTACGAGGTGTCACGTATGCAGTCCAGGTTTCGGCATTCAGGCAGTCCTGGTGATCTCGTCATGCCAAATCCCTCCGGGACAGACATTTACGTGTTATGCTCCTTAGAAATGACTCATGCTTGTTTTGGGTTGGAAGGACTTCTGTTCCGATGCGTGCGCCACCAGTGTGCTAAACGTCCTCGTAAATGTTTCCCAGGCAACACCTGGAGGGCATTCGGTTAAGAAAGACCAAGATGTATCCTTAACAAGCTTAGGTAGCACATTGTAGTGTGTGACAGTATGCACTTTATCATCCTCCTTTTCAGGGTACTCCGCATAGCATATATAGTCAAAGAGTAGAGTAACATGATCACTACGACCTAGTGGTGTGCTTGTAACTATCCCGTCAACCATGAGTTCTTCGTTAGTTAGCACAATATCCAGTATCGACGGCTTGTTAGCAGTTCGAAATCTGGTGGGAGAGGTTACGTGGTTGTACAGAGGGTGGCTAGCAATAAGCTCTTGCAAACAGGCTTTAAAGTGTGCACCGTCGGTTGCCGGCGTTTCTATGTCGCGCACGTTAGTCTCCAGCAATAAGATTGTGGGTGTAGGACTTGTTCAAAGCAAACTGAAAAACGTGGTTCTGTTTGGAGTCCATTTCCGACACTGAGTTTGGTGGGTGATAAATCACGGCTAGTAGACATGTTTCCTTGTTTCGCAACCATAGGCGGCACCAAAGCGAATCGGGAGCTCGGATTTCCGGGTGATCGATAACTTCACATCGGAGGTTTGTATTATAGTAAAGAAACACACCTCCACCCCTTCCGGTTCTATCGGTCCGAAGCAGCGACATACCGGGTAAATTGATTTCAGAATCGGTTATCTCAGCATTTAACCATGCCTCCGTAATCATGATGAGGTCCCACGGTTGTGAGACATGGAGTTCTCTAAGTTCGGCCAACTTGCTTAGAAGGCCTTGCGCGTTTGTGTACATGCATGATAGGGCATTTTTGTTAGGAGTTCATTGGTAGACGTCAACTTTGTGTTCGTTTTTTAAGCCGGCCGTTATTCGTTTTTGATTTATGTATTTCAGTTATGTTGCATGACATTGTTGAGCGTTCCAGAACAGATGTTTCACTCATGCTGTGTCTCTCCTGTTGTGTGCCGTGGACGCTGTTGTGTCGGTCTCTACGCAGGACTGTGCAAATAAAGTATTTGTAGCGTTTACGAGTTCCATTGAATTGTTTCCGACTTTTGGTTGTTCGCCGGCTGCCTTTAGCCGGATCTCTGTTGGCAACATAGCTCGAAACTTTAACCAGCTATCCAACAGAACTTGCATCATTCCCTCGGAGTGTAGTATTACTTTCAATAGCCTTGGACCGCAGACCTTGTAGTTAGGTGATGATGGAACTCTTGTCTGGGATTTGGCAATAACATTGTCAACGGAGAGGGTTTCGCGGATGTAGCACCACTGCTCTCGGTTAAGTGTTTGTGCATCGTGATCAGAAGAATGCCGGAGCTGGGGAACACCATGAACAAATATTGTTTTCTTGCTATCCCTATTAGGAATGCCGCGTTGCTCAACTGCTTCTTTTGGGCGATCTTTCCAAGGTAGAGCAGGTAATATACGCACTCCGCTCGGTGAGTTGCGAAGACGAACTGCTGAGAGCAGGACAGCCTCTGTCTCATCTGCTGAGCCTAGTGTTACTCGAAGAATTCGAGGTTCACCAGAGCGCACTGAGGTCGGGTGACGCGCTACGCGTTGCAGCATTGCAGTCTCAACCCGAATGTTAATTGCCTCGCAGATGGAACTCCAGTGGTTGCGATCGCCTTGCAACTTGCCTTTTATTGTGCCAAATTTGGATTCGGGAACATTGGTGCACACGAGAGTTAACGCAGCGTTGTTTTGTCTATCGAGTGTTGGCTTTATCCTTTTTGCCGGCAATTCGGGTTGTTTAGGGGACACCACTGGAGTTGACGGTGAAAGCTGCTTTACGCCAAGCGTGCTCGGTACTGAAGATGGACCTATGTATGTCGCTCCCGGTGTGTTTGTCGACGCAATCGATGCGCACGTTACCTGCTTGTTATCTGTACAGGATTATCTTCGGCTGTGAGCTGTCGGTGTCATGGCTGAATCTCCAAGTGAAGCGTCTATGCTTATAGAAGTGGATGCAAGTATGTTTGAGGCTTGTCCGCTTATGGGAGTGAGGTGACCCAGTGGATTTAGCATCACAGACGCTGCAGTGTGGTAGGAGCGTCTAGCCCATTCCTTCGATGTAGACTCAGAGCTTACTTTGGCCGGGTGAGGTGTTATCGTGACCATATTGACCTCCGTGGGAGCGATCTTAGTATTTACAAAATGCGCTAGTATTTCAGTCATCCTATCGAATTTTTTCGCTGATCTGGCGGGCATCCAATTAGACAGCGATCGGAATGACCTAGGTCTACATCAGTGAACGCAGGTCTCAGTAAAATTTGCGTGTCGCAATCCAACCACACAGCGGGTTCTCCAAGTCCAACTTTGAATCTTTTCTTCATTGTGCCAATTGTTGCTCGAAGGTCTCAGTGGCACAAAGTTCAGGGCGTCAGCCGTGAACCACTATGCCATAATTTACTCCTCAGCTCAAGTTATCTCCAGGTGATGAGTCCAAACTAGGGCAAAAC